AAATTTCCTAGAATCTTCCTTCACAGGATAGTTGTCCTTTGCGCAAGAGGAATCACCACAATTCATGCATTTAGCTGGCATGTAGCAATTTTTGGTTACGTGACCCCACCTCTGTCACTTACGGCAATGGGTGAGGTTTTGGAAATTTCCTCTAGTCTTCCTGAAATGTTCCCGCTTCACTCGGACATGGAGCATGAGGTTAGTTTTTTTTCTAAGGCTTAAGGTTTTTAGTTCACTAGACTTGAAGTGAACTAAATAAAAATCATTAGAAATCCCGTTGCGCGGATCGCCAGGATGGGATTTAATTTTCATTTTGATTACTTGGAGTGGCACAACTCCAATAATTTTGCCAGCTCATCTTTGATCTGATCCATGGATTCACCACTGGGCAGTCCTGACAACCTTGAACACACGTTCAATTTTGGTGTCATAAGTAAAAAATTAGTGCTGCTTCTCAGTAAGATACTTGAGAAGACGTTTGAATCCGTCCTAGGTTTCAGCCAATACACGGCATTCACCCCGACGGCCAATTTTCAGTGAAAACTTGAATTTCACGAAGTTCAAAAGTTCCGTGCGAAGAGCATGGAAATCGGCTGAATTGGTAAGCGTGATTACCTCACACCCCAGCAGGCCTGGGTTCAATCCTAGTCGGCGCCGCCGGGATGTTCTGAGGCATAACATCTCTGATCCGGCCTTCATTCGGGAAGTAAAGCTGTTGGTCCCCGGTTCATGTGTTGATGGGTCGATAGGAAATCTGCAGAATAATAACTAATCAATCAGAAGAATGGCCGAAATATCATGAGCGCATTATGCACTTTATTGATCAACAGCAGGTATTTGGAATAATTCCTGATCTACCTACTTGCTTGAAGAATATCTTAGAGGCAACAATTAGAGATCCACACAACAATTAGCGATCTCCAGAATAATTACTAATCAACCAGAAAAAGTACCAAAATATCCAGAGAACATTACGCTGAACTTCAAAACGTGCATGTGAGATTGGAGGCAATGGCCATCGAGAACGATTCATGGAACAATGTTGAGCAGGTACTCCAGAATCCTTCGAGGCTAAACGATGCGTCTTCGTTATCCTCGAATGGTCCATCTGCTCAACTGGAACACACCATAGATGTTTCTACGATCTACTGCTTCTGGACCACCACCATCACCACCGAGACGCATCGTGGATAGCACTGTGGAAGCCCCTGATTTATCTGCCTTCGTCGCGCTGATTCCAGCCAGCGCTCTGCATAGTCGTCTCGGCCCTGAGTGTAGATGTAGGTCGGGGGTCTTCCAACCAGCTATTACTGGCAAGTATATTGATGATTCAGCCTATCATTTGCCTGATACCGCTTCAACTTCTAGCTGTGCTTCCGGTTCTGCGACCTCCACATTAGCCACCATGTCCATGCATCCGTCCTGCCAACTGCCAGCAGGTGTATGCCGCCACCTGCTCTTCCTCGTATCCGGGATACCTTAAAACAGGCACTGAGGAAGCTTCCGAACCTCCCGACCCAGTCGCGCTTGCTGCAGACATCCGCCATCGTCATCGTCCCGGTCCTGTGGTCGGTGATGGTATCGGGGGCTTCCGGCCTGCAACCTCAGGCGAGTATGTTAGCGATTCCGAGCTTTCGGTACCTGATGTCCTTTTGATTTCTAGTTCCCGTGATTGCTCCTCGAATGGTCTCCGGATCTACTACCAAAACGTGCGTAGGCTGAGGAATAAAATCGACTCGTTTTTCCTGGCTGTTGTGGAGGCCGAATATGATTTGATTGTGCTGACGGAAACGTGGTTGGACGACCGAATTTAGTCATCGCAACTTTTCGGGTCACTCTATTCCGTCTTCAGAACTGACCGGTCTACCCTAAACAGTCAAAAATCGCGCGGTGGCGGAGTCCTGATAGCAGTATCTACGATACTAGCCAGCTATTTGGTGACTACAATCAAGCTGTTGTGCAGTGGCGCTTTACAGATAGTGGCACATCATTAATTGATCCACTGCTTTCGTATATGCCGGTTGCTTGCTGTGCTCTTTTGGACGGTTTTAACTTTAACGGGTTCACACAAGTGAATACTTTTCCGAACCGAAATGGACGTTTGCTAGATCTTGTCCTGGCAAATGATTCCGCACTACTGGGCACTTCTGTTTCCTTGCCGGTCGAGCCACTGATTGATCTAGATGCCGATCATCCCGCTCTCGTCGTGTCATTAAGTTTACCTACGTCGATTCTTTTTACGCCGTCATCTGAGTGCTACTCTTTGGACTTTCGCCGGGCCGATTATGTTGCATTGAACAATGCGCTTACGGAAATTGATTGGTAATTTATCGAAACAGCCGCTAGCGTGAATGATGCTGTGGATTTTTTCAGTGCTGCACTGGAAGATGCTATTTTCCGCATTGTCCCAGCTCCGCTAAAGCCTGCATGGTCTAACCCACGCCTACGCGTGCTAAAACGTCAACGCTCTGCCGCCCTCCGAAAGTATTGTAACTCTTGCTCGCCGTACTACAAACGACTGTTCAATTTTGCGATATGTAGTTATCGAAATTACAATCGCTTTCTCTATAATCGACACGTGAGACGCACGGAAGCGAACCTTCGCACGAATCCGAAAAGTTTTTGGTCGTTTGTCAACTCCAAACAGAAGGAATCCGGGTTGCCTTGTTCCATGTTTCTCGGGAATGACTCGGCTAATAGCGAAAGAGAAAAATGCGACTTGTTTGCTCGTCATTTCAAGCAAGTGTTCCACGATTTCTCCGCTTCGCCAACACAAGTGCTGGACGCTACTATTGGGGTGCCACGTGATGTGTTTAGTTTCGTTATTCCGCGCATTTCAGAAGACATGGTGATAGCCGCAACACGCAAACTGAAGCTCTCGTTGGCCGCCGGACCTGACGGCATTCCGTCATCAGTTCTAAAAGGTTGTGTAGCCAATCTCTGCATTCCACTTGCGAGGATATTCAATCTCTTGGCACAAAATGTGAGTTCCGCTGCCGCTTTAAACTTTCTTATCTGTTTTTGTACAAAAAAGGAGATAAACGGAATGTCATAAACTATCGTGGAATCACCTCCCTGTGTGCCTGCTCAAAACTTTTCGAGATTATCATAAATGGTGCTCTGTTCGCACGCTGCAAAAATTATATCGATATTGAACAACACGGTTTCTACCCGAAACGCTCCGTGTCCACGAACCTGGTGCAGTTCACTTCTAACTGTCTGCGATGCATGGATTCAGGATGACAAGTCGATGCTGCGTATATGGATCTAAAAGCTGCATTTGACACGGTGGACCATAATATCTTGCTGGCCAAGCTGGAGATACTTGGCATCTCGTCAACTACTGTGGATTGGTTCAGATCTTACTTGGTGAATCACTATGTACATGTCAATATTGGCTCGTCGGAATCGGATGTTATCTCAAACAACGCGGGAGTTCCGCAAGGCAGTAACCTAGGACCGCTACTATTTTCGATCTTTTTAAACGACGTCGCCTTGCTGATACCATCAGGATGCCGCGTTTTCTATGCAGACGATACGAAAATCTACACAATTATTAAAAGCCTCTCGGACTGCTAAGCTCTCCAGAATATGTTTGGTATTTTTGCTGACTGGTGCTCAAGAAATTTGATGAGTCTAAGCATAGAAAAATGTAACATTATTTCCTATCACCGAAAAATCGAATTAATCATGTTTGACTATGTTCTCTACGGACACTGTCTTGCTCGTGCAGAGCACATAAAGGATATCGGCGTTACCTTGGACTGCAGACTCATTTTCAGAATCCACTACAATGACATCATCTCCAGAGCTAATCGACAATTGGGCTTTATTTTCAAAATAGCCGACAAGTGTCGTGACCCGCTATGCCTCAGGTCACTTTACTGCTCGCTTGTGCGATCCTTATTGGAGTTAAGTTTAGTTGTTTGGTGCCATTTCCATGCTAGCTGGATCACTAGAATTGTATCCGTTCAACGCAAGTTTGTGAGATATGCTCTTCGTTTCCTCAACTGGCGTGACCCAACGAACTTGCCACCGTACAAGGAGCGTTGCCGTCTCCTGGGAATCGAGCCATTAGAGGTGAGACGGACGGTCGCTCAAGCTATGTTCGCTGGAAAGCTGCTTACGGGTGACATTGACTGTCCAACACTGCTGTCACAGCTAAATATGTATGCCCCTGAGAGATCTCTTCGTCAACGCGACTTTCTGTTTTTGGAACCACGGAGCCGGAATTATACCCAATACGAGCCAATTCGAGCAATCAGCCGGCAATTCAACAACTTTTTTATATGTTCGGCTTCAATTTATCAGCTGACGTGTTTCGTCATCGGCTACTTGGCCTTTTCCGTACCGTTGACCGTAACTATTTAGTTTAAGTTTTATTCATTTAGACAATAACAATAACGTACCGTTAGATTTGATAAAGAGTCACAAATTGTTGAGATATTGTTTAAAATCTAATGCTGCTTCTTGATTCTAAATTCGTTCTACGAGTTTCAATTCCGTCCTAACGCATTGGAACGCCGTTAGATTTTCTTCGTCCTACGGATAAACGTATAAAAAAGGGATTCGCTGGGAGCGCTTCTTTTGTTTTGAGAACAATGAGCGTAAATATTCATACAATGCGCTCTAATAGGATTTATCTTATAGCTAATGAACTAACGCATCTGAACAAACCTATTATTGATTTGTGCACAGTGAAATCATTGATATAATTGATCTTTTCTGATCGATAGAACGGAAATTGGCGATTACGACGAAGTAGCGCTCTACCCTACCAGGGATTTTTTTTTTCAAACAGATGGGCAGTCTCTAGTGCGTTTATTCTGAATTTCTCGGTATTAATTCCGCTTTGATTTTGTCAAGATAGTGGTGGACAATGGTAGCAAAATCATATTTGGCAAATTAAAAAAAAAAAACGTATGGATGATTGTCTACGCAACCCCTCAAAAATGGTCTACGTAATTTATCAACAGCCACTAACATGAGTTTATTTACAGAGACACCATTGACGATGATAATATTGCTCCACCCTGTGCTTATGAGCTAGATGATGATGACAATAATGAAGAGGAAGACCACATTAATAGAAAATCTTCGGCAATTACATCAGTAAAAATCTCTTTTACCTGTAAAACTGTTCTCACGAAGGAAAATGCGGATATTGTAATGTATGATATATCCAGAGTTTTGATTCCTAGTCTGTTTTCGGTTATAAACTACAAGGAAATTCCAGACAGCATTAAGCCGAACGAACGGAAAGAACGGTATCAACGCGAAAAAGGAGAGATGTTAAAAATTCCCGTTGCAATTGCGATCGTTAAACTACTCCAAAAGTTACCATCAAAGTTTATGGATTTGAATTTCCCTAAGCTGCTGATAAAGGTGGTCAGCTTCCTGAAATCTAACCTAAAGCAGGTTCGCAGCATAGCACGACACACATTGAAAAATATGTTACTTTCTGTAGGTCCATCGGTTCTAAATACTGTTTTGGAATATCTAACAGCAATTCTGTCTCGTGGTTTTCAAGTGCACGTAATGGTGGCTACTGTGCACACATTGCTCGACGCCGTTAATGATAAATTGACTGCCGAAATTGTGGATGATATTTTGCAATCCGTTTTAAGTATATGCATCAATGATATCTTTGGACCGCTGGCTAAGGAAAAAGAGGTCGGTTCAGTAGCAAGCAAAACCCCGGAAGCAAAACCTAACAAAAAAAGTTTCCTCACACTTCAAATTTTAGCGAAGAAAATGAGCGAAAGCTCCGCTCTTGATATGATTATGCCATTCAAGGAAATAATTACTAAAACGAACTCAAGGAAAGCTGTCCTCAAAGTAGAAGAAGCATTAAGAAAAATTGCGGACGGATTTTGCTCCAATACGAACATCAGTATTGAATCCATGCTCGTTTTCGTGTATGGCATAACTTCGGAAAGCATTCCAGATTTGGTTTGCAGGGGTAAGAAAACACATTCAGAAAAGCAAGAGAACAAAATGAGAGAGCATATGGCGGATATTTACCTTATACCAGCAGAACCAAAACGAAGAGGAGCATTCAACCAAATTCCGTTTCTCAATAGATCAAAAACTAATGCCCATGTGTTCGTAGAAATGGGACTGGAAATATTACATTCGCTAATGAAGAAAAGTCAAGTGCTATCGTTGGATTATAAAGCAATTTTAGAACCTCTTGTTCCAATATTGGTTAACTCAATGAGCAGCAATCATATGAAAGTAACAACTCTTGGAATTAAATGCCTTTCTTCATTATGGTCGAGCAAGTTAAACCTGTCTAACGTTGAACAAAACATTGAAACAATTGTGGATAATCTGTTGAAGTTGTTGCACAAATATGCTACCACCATTGTCGGCCGGAATGATGCTAATTTCCAAATGGTAAAGACTACTTTTAAAGCAATTGTTACCCTGTTAAAACATGTAAAGTACTTCGAAATCAGTAACGCTCAACTTAAGATGCTATTGCTGTATGTTGAACAAGATCTATACCATAATGAAAAGCAAAATATGACATTGATCTTGCTGCGTTCGATTGTTGGAAGAAAGTTGATTGCCAGTGAGATGGTATCCATAATCAAAAGAGTTGCTGAGTTGAGTATCACTCACGATAGTCAAAAAATAAGGTTATATCAAATTCCATTATTAGACTTGCTTGAAAAGGATGAACCTTTTTATTTTTGTTTTATAGAGAGGAGTGTCGACAGATTGTGTTGGAGTATCTGCTGAACTATTCACTCGGAAAGAACATCGAGCATATCGTTCATTTCTACATTAGGCAGTTGGAGTACGAAGTGATAGCAGGTCGTGAATCTGCAGTCCAAATGCTACGGATGATGTTCAAATCGTTTCCAGCGGTGAGTGTAAACTTTTAAACTCTCTTATTATTGCATATTCAACTACACTGAACATAAATCACATGTAATATCCATTGATAAAATTCTTTAAATTTAATTGGATATCCAATGAACAAATCGCTTTGAAATATGACCATCATATATAAAGTGTAACCAGAAAAACAGATACATGTCATAGGATTGTCTCATAGCGCAATTTTATAAGTCAGTACCTACCTACCCAACTCCTGTGGTATGTGTACCCAAATCCTGTGGTATGTGTTTTCTCGTAGGATCTGCTTCTTTGCTCAGTGTCCCTCGAAAAATAACCCAACCCACTCTCACAACGATTGTCGAACTAATAATCATCGTTCCCCTCCCCAAAGACCGTGAGGACGTGCCCGCTGTCGGTACTGAGTACTGTATAAAGTTACGCAGAAGCCGTTCGGGAAACAATCTCATCCTGACAAATGATCATTTAATTAGATCCAATGTGATAAAAAGTGTGTTGACATGGTTGACATAGTCAGAATGAAATATATTTTGTGTGTGTGTGTGTGTGTGTGTGTGTGTGTGTGTGTGTGTGTGTGTGTGTGTGTGTGTGTGTGTGTGTGTGTGTGTGTGTGTGTGTGTGTGTGTGTGTGTGTGTGTGTGTGTGTGTGTGTGTGTGTGTGTGTGTGTGTGTGTGTGTGTGTGTGTGTGTGTGTGTGTGTGTCTGTGTGTGTGTGTGTGTGTGTGTGTGTGTGTGTGTGTGTGTGTGTGTGTGTGTGTGTGTGTGTGTGTGTGTGTGTGTGTGTGTGTGTGTGTGTGTGTGTGTGTGTGTGTGTGTGTGTGTGTGTGTGTGTGTGTGTGTGTGTGTGTGTGTGTGTGTGTGTGTGTGTGTGTGTGTGTGTGTGTGTGTGTGTGTGTGTGTGTGTGTCCTCTAGTTGCCAAGTGCAGCTCCACTAAAACCCATTCCTTACTTTCTCCTCTGCCTGGATCCCTTCGGGACCATTGTGAAGCAGCTACTTCGGGGCATAGCTCTGCTCATGCACTTCTGATACTCTCAGCGCTAGCTGGCGTTGCTGGATCGCTGATCTTCTCTCCATTTACGTTGCAGTTCCGACATAATCTGCGTGACTGCTCTGTTGACGACATTCTCAGTATCCTCCTCTCGACACATTTCATCGACGACATTCTCCACGTTAAGGACGGGCATCTCCCTTCGCACTGTCTCGAACCTTGGACAGTCGAATACCACATGCTTCGGCGTTTCATCGACGTTGCCACACTCCGGACAGAGGGGTGACGCTGCGTGTCCGAACCGATGCAGGTATTTGCTGAAGCAGCCAGTGGTCAGACAGAATCTGCGTTAGGTTGGACTTCTCCGTGTTTTCTGTTCACCCAGGTCGAAAGAATCGGTATTAGTCGTACCGTTTTCCGTCGTGTTCCACTCCTGTTGCCACTTAGCCAATGACTCCACTCTCACAACTTTCCGTACTCTTCCGGCTTCTCTCTGCCTGTAGCACTCGGTGTCCTCCGCCAGGGTGATGCCGATAGGGATCATACCCGCTATAACGCATACTGCTTCCGACGAGATGGTTATGTACGCACTCACGACTCGCATTACCATGAGCCGGAACGTACTGCTCAGTTTCCTTTGGTTCTGCTTCGTTTCCAGTGCTGCAAACCAGGCTGGACCTCCATACCTCAGTATTGATGACAACACACACGCGTTGATGGCCTCCGAAGCCTTCTCACAGGCATATTAGAGTTTAGCCGGTCATCGATCATCACTCCCAGGTATTTCAACGTACGCTTCGAGGCTATGGCGTGCTCCCCGACGGTGGTAGAACCGGCAGAAGCCCACTGTACCGCTTTACAGCCAGGGTTATTCTACGTGGCGAATGAGATGAGATTACTCGAGTCACTTATGTCACCCGATTCCAACTGGCGAATGAGGTGAGAAAAGTCACTTGGGATGAACCCGATGAACTCTCACCTTATTCTCACAGTTGTTTTTCGGTGACAAAAGTCGTACTGAAGTGATGATTTAAAGTGACAAGAGTCGTCACCTTTCCAGCAGTCGACTGGGTGTAAACATCCAAGAAAAAATCGCCAGAGGTGGATGAAATTGTTGGTAAGTTGTTTAAAATCAACTACAACAATACAACTTTCGATACATTTTGGTAATAGATTTTCAGGAAAATATTTATTTTCCATATACAGTATTTTTCGCATATAGCACAAGAGCTATTCGGGGCTGAAACCTCTGCTGAATGTCTAGACGTTTTTATATGCTGCATTGCTGAAATACATGTCTCACACTCTTCATGTCCCAGTTTGACCATTGAAATATTCATCTTTTTCAGTATTCGGCAGTAAAACTGGTAGCTTACATCAGTATCGTGTGATTGGTTATAGTTCCGGTGCATTTTCTTGATAGATAAGTCCGACGGCAAATACAACCGATTCGGAGCGTGGTGGGCGGCGTGGTAATGCGAAATGGTCGGATTGTACTTAGCGATGTGTGCTTTGACGCTGCTACTCTTTTCAGTGCTGCGCTCATATTGGCCTCGTTTGAGAGCCCTTCGTCCGATTTCTTCATCATCGTCAGCATCATCTACCATCCGGTAGATAATGTTTCTGTAACATAAAGGAAGTAATTAATGCATTAAGTTTAATCCTATTCCATATTATTTTCAGTAAATTCTTACCCGCAGTGTTCCCCGTATCCCAAAGTATTTAGAAAGAACTTTCTACAAACAAGGGGTGCTTCATCACTAGCCAGCGTTCGAATATGAAAATTGTACGAGTGGTGCTTTCGCAAAGTGTCATCGATGAATACATTACGACTCCGCCTTTGTACGGTTGTACGCAGAACCCGTTCTCGGATGAAATGCTTCTGACCAGCAGCGTCCAAACTCCAGAAGGTTTTATTCATATCAATCCTGTCATCTTTGCAGACCAAATTGCCGCACTCTTTACTGCACCCGCAATCTTCCCAAATTACGACATGAGCGGAGCGTCGTCTTTCCGCAACGTCACGCTTCCGGATTTCTTTTTTCGTGCTCTTATTCTGTCTTCCAGTTGTCTTCCTTTCATTTAAATCTGACTCGATATCAGAAGATCTGCAATCTAAATCATCAACCAGTTTTGCTGAACCGACTCCCGCTGACTCGTCACTTGGGTCCTGCTCTTGCTCCACGGACGGCAAAGTAGCGAAATACGACCGAAAACGTTGTAGTTTCTCCACATCATTACACGAAAACAATTCACCGTCTTTGGTCACAACATCAAATCCATTGCACTCTTCGTCGGAACTTTCATCACTACTTCCACCGTAAATCTGGATTAGATTCAAAGCGGACGTCATGATTTCGTAAAAAAGGAACGGTAAAACCGAGCGGTCCTTGACAAATTTAATTTTGTTTTGATTCAAGCTGGTAGTATTTGACAGATGCCTGCCATGGAGCGTTGAAACAGAGTGGGACTGGTATGCGATTATTTTTGTGAATGACGGGCAAAATAATCGCATATCAGTCCCCATCAGTCCCAGCGCGGTTTTCTTCGAATAACACTTTTGGTTTTTTAATTTATTGATGCAATAGTAATAAAGACATAATAATGCACGTAAATGAACAAAAGATTTTATTTATATCATGCGACACATATATGTACGTTAAAACATATGATTATTCCAACTTTGCTTGCTGTTTTCTCGGTTTGCTGTTTTTACATATGGGACTGATATGCGGTTACAGGCAGTGTAGGTCCTTTCCTTCCTGTGGAAGTACAAGTGATCCATAAATTATCTCCCCGGATACAAAACGAAGCAGTTGAAATATGCTGTTAATTTTACTCTTTAGTGTTTTGGAGGTTTCAAATAAGCAGACGTTCAGACTACAGAGTTATAACATGTTATAGCGCTATCGTGATGGTGGTTTCTGTTTTGCATCTATTTGACAACCGTTATAACATGTTATAACTCTCCAGTCTGGACAGCGTTTAAGTTTATTCAACTGGAGCCCATTACAGAATGCATCTAAAGTTTATTCTTCTGGCACAGAATCTTCATCATGATTGTTCTCGGCAAAAATAAACCGCAAACAGTTTGGATAATTAAACCGAAATTGTGTTGTAACAACTAAGTGCGCAAGTCTGATGCAGGGCTACTTGAGAATAAAGACCCAACCGTTCGGACCCCTGAAAGGCATGGTTGAAAGTCGAACATCTAACACCAGAACTTTCAGAGCCTCAGCAACAGAATTTTTGTCTATAATTAATGTTGTTTTGAATGTTTTATTCATGTAAAGGATTGAAGTATGAATATATAACCACCGACGAACCGACATGAATGATTATAGCAAAAACAATAAACATTTTGACCAAAGCACACTACTGACATCTGGCTCCGTGTTCGCGGGAAATATTTAGCTAAGCCATGAACCCGCATGCAAAAGTTATGGATTGGTTTTTGCCTGATCTTTTCTGGACAAATTATTTTTATCTAGATCAAAAAATCCTATGGTTTTGACAGTTCGGCAATGAGAACGTCTGGTTCGGTTGACGGTTAGAGGTAGAATAAAAATTTATTGTCGCATATAATAACTAGCCTACTGATGTAGACGCAGCTTACTGATCTTCAACACTCTTCCTTAAGCTGGCGTCTTCAAATATGCAATCCCATTGCTCTTTGGTTGCGTTCAAGCTTGACTCGCTGAAGTGGCTTCGTCAAACCATCTGCAACTTGGTCTTCGGTTTTGACGTAGTTGAGTTTGATAGTTTTCCGGTCCAACGCAGCACGGATGTAATGGTGCCGGACATCTATGTGTTTTATCCGGGGTGTGTATCCGCCGTTCCGCGCGATACAAATTGTACTCTGGTTGTCACAGCGCAACTCGATTGGATCTTGTTCGCCAAACTGCGACGACAGTCCTCGCCACCATGACGCCTCTTGTACCGCAGCAGACAACGCCTCACACGTTGAGAGTGATACGGTGGTCTGTCGCTTACAGCACCAGGATACTGCTCCTCCTTGC